CAGACCTCAGATGCGAGGGGTCATAGTTTTTTATTTCACGTGTTTCCTGGAGTGAACCACCATTGGAACACGAATGGCTGTCTCATCAGGTGGCTTGTACCACTGGTGGTACAAATAGATCTAATCACTTTTACCAGTCTTTTTACTAATAAAATTAATAAAAAGCTGCCCAATGGAACAGCCATTCATGGACCACTGGTTGGTCAAGCCACCCAGCAGTGAGACATACGAATTAGAGCCCTGTTGTGAATGTGTTAAGATTCCCCTGCCCCTTAGTAAATCCTGAAGAATAAAGAAAAATCAATAGTAATAAGTATGTGTTCTACTCAAAAATAAGGCAAAAGATTACATGTCTGTGTACCTGTAAGTATATATTGTGTATTACTGATTTATCAAAATTAAATGTGTATCTCAAACATAAAATGCTATGTGAAGCAGCAGAAATACAAATAAAATATATGTGTGTTATACATGCATACACATATACATATTGCATATGTATATTTATATATGCATACATGTACATATATTGCATATATATTTACATATAAAAGTGAGGGCACAAGAAGCATACATTTAAGATATAAAAGCAAGATTCAATGAGTCTGGGAGTGGTGGGACACATCTATAATTCCAGCTCAAGCAGGAAGATCATCAGGAGTTGGAAGCCAGCCTGAACTACATAGTGAGTTCAAGGCCATCCTGAACTACATAGTGAGACCCTGTCTCATTGCTTGATGATTCAGTAATGGCATCTAGAAAACAAAAATTATTAATCTTGGTAAGTCTCAGGGTACTGTTTTTTCTTTTTCTAAATTGCTTCTCACATTTTTAAGTAACCCTAGTTAAACATTTTATAAAACAAGCTACATTCTACTATCATTTTAATGGTAATGAGGTTAGACACCCTACAGCCAAATAACACCTAGTATGCAGAATACTATAAAGCTGTATTAAGCCAAAATGTTTATTTTCTACCCTTTGCAAAAATATTCTGTGCAGTTGCCAAAAGTAGGCATGGTCCTTATCTCGCTTTAATGTTTTGTGCTGAATTGGGTGGGTCAGGAACTCAGTGACCTGAACATTGCATTCCATGACATTTCCCTAGTAATGAATGTAGGTACACTTGGGAAATCATCTCTAAAAAATACTATCCCTGTACATCTTGTTCATGCATCAGGACAGAGGATTAGATCTGGCTTCTCATTGTCATTTATGGTTTAACTGTTTCTCATAGGACACAGATACAAACATGCACATACTCATTTTTGCATGCACATGTGTCAATTATTGCAGTCTAAGTTTGCCTACCCATGACCCATTTTTTAATTATTAGCCAGCTACTATATTTGGTGCTTTGTGTGCTATTCATTTACCAGCATTAAATGTACATCTCAAATATAAAATGCTGTTCAAAGTGCCAGAAATACAATGATTAGTAAAACGTAGGTTCTTGACTAACCCATTATCTGATGTAGAGACAAGCAAGTTAATGATAACTCAGTAACAGTTATATAACAATTTGCACTGGGTATATATAAAGGAAAAGTCAAATGATGTCAAAGTAATAGTGGCTTTAACACCTAAGGGATTTATTCTGTCCCCCTCATCCCCAAAAAAGAAGTGAAGATGTAATCAGCCCAAATGTAGTACAGGAGCCAGGCTCTGTTTCTCCTGCTTCTCTAACCTTAGTGCAAGACTTCCATTCTCAAGCTTGTCTTATTTTTTAAGAAGCTTCAAGAGCCAACAGGAAGGAAAGCAGGGGGCAGCAGGGGACCCACCTCAACTAAGCCGGCTTCTTTAAAGTGGCTTTGCCAGAACATAAAACACTTTCATTTTATTTCAAAATTATAACTGTTCACATGGCCATGAGAAATGCATTCTTTTAGGTCAGAGTATTGCTATCCCAAATAAAAAGTCACTTCTGTTACAGGGGAAAGTAGGAGAAAGTAAGAGAAGATAGATGCCCAGCCACGTCTGTCTCATGAAAGTATGAACAGAAAGCTAAGGCAGCATAGAGCAATAGAGAAGTTAACTCTGGAATCTGTCAAAGATAGGTTTGAGGGACAGATGGTCAATTTGGGGTTTGAAGGATAAGTAGGAGTTATCCAACTGACCCAGAGGATTCAAGACAATTGGTAGTATGCGTAAGGGCACAGAGACATCTGGCATATAATTGCCGATTCAGCCCATGTCTGCATTCCTAGTTATTTTTTCTCTCTGTTATTAATAATAGGCCCTAAAGTAACAGTTTAACTAATTTTTAATTAACAGTCATTCAAGATCAATAGATTAAGGTATATCAAGAATGATTATCGTGATATAATTCTACTTTTCCAGTTGGGCCAAAATGAAAATATTTTATCTGATGATAAAGTATCCACTTTTTAAAAATAATTGAGTTAGAATATTTTGGCATCTTGAGGAGGAACTGATAAAGAGAAAAGAAAAAAGCCAGTTGTGTTGGGGAGATATTTGTCTTTCAACTTTGAAGTTTAAACGATGCCCAGTTAGAACTGGCCTGGTTCATATCCTGGGTCCATAAACCCATACTGAGTGTGCTACTTCAGGGAACTGGCCAAGTTCACCTGAAAATATGTCACCTCTTATTTAGCTGTTTCTAATATGACTGTTACTTTGGATCTATGAAGCTAAAGTGTTCTTTTCTTAAAATGGTTTTGGAACCATAAGAAATCTTTAGGATTAGAAAGGGATTTTTGTGACTATCTCCTTTGGCTCTATTTGAGATATGAGATCCATTAAATTTTTTCCAGAGAAACTTAAGTCCTTTGGCAAACCTGAAATTCCTATAATGTAAGGAGTAAACCCTGCTAGGTCTGAGGTGCCTGCTATATAAATTCCCGTGCCCGCTGCCCACCTTTTCCTTCCACACAGCCGAGGATCCTAAAAGACTGAACCCATTTCTGTCCAATCCCAGACACACAGGAGAGTGGATAATTCTTCAAGTGCTGCTTAAATTAAGATTATCATACTTTTCAAAGGAGTCAATCCTACTAAAGCAATCTGATAATTTAGTTTTATAAATTTCTAAATTTTTGCAAACTTTGGTTTTCCCTTTGACACTAACTAGCTAGTAGGAGGTATTTCTAAAGGATGCAGTACTTCCCTTCAGCTGTTAACTCCCATTCCTCATTGTTTCTCAGCTCCACACACCTCCTCAGTCTTGTCTCCATTGACCTCTCCAACCAAATAAACTCTCTGAACTTTATGTTCTCAGAACACCATGTTTCTGTATCTTCCAGCTTTTTTCATGATTGTTTCACTTTTCTTTATGTGATTCTCTGAGTAATATCTGCCTCCTTCACTACACTATAAATTCATGAGGGTGGGCCCATTCATGCCTTATAAACTCACCACTGAGTTTTGCTCCTTGTAGTCTCTGGCTTACGGCAGGGCCTTGATAAATGTTGCTTAGCTGGTTCACATCTACTCAAAGTGCAGGAGTAAATACAGAATCCATCAGCCATGTATAGGACCATGTACAGATAAGAATTCTGAAGATACTTTTATCATAGTTACACAGAGGTACACCACAGAACTCTTAAACCAGCGTGTTCTTGGCTCAGTGTGGAAGAAACCTGGCTGAATTCTGATATAGCCTCATTGCAGCCCCTGAATGGACTGAGGTAAACTGCAGGAGGAAGCAGGCCCTCCTTTGCTCCCCCCTTAGAACTTAGCACCATGTGTTCCTGCTTCTCTGCACTTCAAAAAATGTGTGACTGTTGAAGGAGTTGTTGCTTTGCCATCCATTTTAATAGGTATTTTAAAGGAATAATACACATTACCACATCTTAAAAATAAGAGTATAGATATAAAAAATGGTAAATATAGTAACTATAATTTAAAACATTTGCTTAAATACATCTTTATGGTTACTAATATGAGGTACAAAAGAAAAATCAAGGCACAAAAAAAGGGAAGGTTTTGGAAAGCAGGATGAATTAGGATTTGGGGGATAAGCCCCTTCAAATGCCAATCTAGTTCTCATTTTGTCAAAAAGAGTAATTGAAATAGTTTGACAGTGGAGTAAGTTTTTTGATATCAATTCAGACTAAAACTATAAGATGTATAGTTTAGGGTTTTTTTTAAGTCAAACATTGGAAAGAAAGAGTAAGATATGAAGCAGTTCACCCACCTACTTCGTAAATGGTGGCTTTGTCAAGCCTGGTTTGGACTAAGCGTAAATGTTTTGCTAGAAGTGCTGAATTCAGGTCTTGCCTGGCTAAGTGGCCTTGGGAGGATCCATGGCCTCAGTTATGAATGGGGCCGCCTTAGAGTCGAGAGTGAGAGGTCAGTGTTGTGCTGCCTGGAGCTGAGCAGGCCAGGAGCATAGCATGGCCTTGGTCCCAGTGTCACCCGACTCCACACATGCATTAATCTCGTCTCTGTCAGCTGTTCTGTTTCTCTTTTCTTAGATGAGGTGCTAGCTAGAAAAGGAAACATTTTCATTATTACATCAAAAATTTATTAATACAGTCCACTGAACAGTGTTTAGCTGTTTGGAATCAATGAAAGCACTACACAAACCCTTACCCTTATGCAGCTCACATTCTAAGGAACAAACAGAGAATGGAGATCGTCCATGGGATGGTTCCTGCTCCAGTTACCTCATGGCCAGATTTTTTGCCATTTGGTGAATCATAGCTATTAGTACTGGGAATTCTTTTTGAGATTCTGTATCATCAGCAATGCAGGATCATCTTCTCTCTTACTCTTTCTCCATCCTTTCCTACCCCCATACTCCAGTTCTCTCTCTCTGCATTCTTTTTGTTTGTATATTTGGATTGTCAGCATATCTTGCTGCAGACTGCATGTTTTTCTCCTTTGCTTGGGTTACGTGCTAGTGTAACTCAGTCCCTCTCACAGACAGAATGCTGTGTGCCCCTCGGGAATGAAGGGGGGTCACTTGTGGTGATTGGCCCATGGGTCCCTGCCTTGCTAGGTGCCCAGTTGAATTATACATCTCTCTTTCTTGTTAGATTGTTGGCTGCGACCACCAGCTGGGAAGCACCGCTAAGGAGGATAACTGTGGGGTCTGCAACGGAGATGGGTCCACCTGCCGGCTGGTCCGAGGGCAATATAAATCCCAGCTCTCTGCAACTACATGTAAGACACTACAGAGACGGGGCAACCTCTGTACCCCTTGGCTTGTTGCCTCCCCTGGCTTAGCTCTGGCTTCTCTGAGAAACCAGGGAATAAACCTCCACTAACCAGGGAAGACTCTGACATTGTGGAAAGCTCCATGTCCCTGCTTCATGAGTTCATTTCAAGGGACAGGTCAGGTCACCAGCTGTGACCCCGAGGAGGGAAGCTTCTCTTCTGGGGTGCAGCAGGAGTGAGGTAAAGGTGCTTTCTGGAAAATGTGTATTGCTACCCAACAGGAGGGCAGAGTGCATTCCAGCCCCTGCCTTTTATGTAGTCAATGTGCCTGGTGAAATATAGTGAACAGACTGCAAAAGTTCACACAAATTTACTCCTCCCCCTGGAAAATCACAACCCTTCTGACAAAGTAGCCTTTGGTCCATGCTGACACAAGTTCTTTCAGAATAATTTTGGGCTGCAACTGTGAGCTGTGTGTGGCTGTATGTACTGAGAACTTCACCAGATCATCCCATTTAACCCTTATAGCAACCCTATGAGCATGGTATATCAACTTCCTTGTAACGGAGAAGATGCCCAAGGCCTCAGGAGATTGTGTGACCTGCCCAGAGTCACACTGCCATAAAGTAACAGAGCCAATATTTGAGCCTAGAGTCTGATTCCAAGGTTGAATCCTATACCTGTTTTGCTGAGTTGTCTCAAACCCTGCTGACTGCCTTGGTGGTAGGACTTTTCAAAGCAGACAAATGGACCAAGCCAGAGGGCCTCAGGTATCTGCCCACCTGAATCTTGTTAGGTAGCTGGTATAAATCCCACGGTACCTAAGCCAAGTCACAATTAATCCACAATTGAGTCACAATTAATCCAGATCATTGTATCATACACTATCTTCTGTGATGGCTGCTGTTCTAGGGACTGCAGATAGAAGTAAAACAGCCTTTGTACTCGAGGACATATATTTTTAGAATTATTTTGAAATTTCTGGCCAGTTGTCTCCAGATTCTCTTTTCCCGTCTCTCCTTGCTTGGGAAATGCAAATGAATGAGTTTACTGAGTGTGGTTTTGTTCTCTTTACTTGTTGAGTAGTTGGAGGAAAACATTTGTCTCATGGCAGGTTTATAAATTTGAATAGAGTTGTAGGTCAAGAAGAAAGGCAGATGCAGTCAATTTGGTAGGCACTGGAGGACCATTCACAGAAGTCCTGAAAAGGCAGCTCTCCATAAGGAGAGCCTCCACAGGCAGGAAGAAAGGCCAGGACTCTTAAACACATGCAAAGTGGAAGCACCAGCTTTGGGAACTGTCCACATTCTGACTTCCCTGGAGGCAGTGAAAAATGTGATTCTGTGAACATTTTAAAATTAAAAAGACTCTGGTAGATAGAATGAAAGATGAGGTAACTTAGACATTGATAAAGTCCATTCAGGCAAGATTTTTCTTTGCTCATGTGTGTTGTAACTTCTTTTATAAGATGAAAAATGAAAGAAGTTAGAAGATGGAAACCAGAAAAAAGGCATAATTCTTTTGTAAATATCGGAGATTATTTTTAATTACATGTAAAAGGTTGAATATCTGGAAAAATCACATATCAAAGGTCACTTACAGGAATCTTTAAGGAATGTTGGAAGGATTAAAATATTTCTTCTTTTTTGGGGAGGGGGTACCGGGGATCTAACTTGGGACCTTGCACTTGCAAGGCAGGTGGCAGAGCCACTGAGCTAAATCCCCAGCCCCAGGATTAAAATATTTCTAATTATTTGTCACATAATTGAATCAATTCTAGTTATCTAGGAATCCAGAAATGGGGATGTACAGGTGGGGTAATGGGTGTGGAGACCTCTGAGAAAGAGCATGTTTCCTCGGAGGGATCCCACATTATTCTCCTGTCACCCACCTTCCTGTTCTCCTGGAGGAGCTAGAACACTGCTCCAAGAGACATTTCTCTCACTTGCCTGTCAGGGATGATCAGCAACCCCCGGGGTCTGCAGTGGGTGAAGCTTTCAAGGAAGAAACTGAAGCAAACTGAGAGCCCTATGTCATCTCCAGGCCTGCAAATAAATATCTCACTGAAAAGTGCTCTTGCCTGCCAGAATCGGTTCAGCAAACCCTGTTAGAGAGAAATGAAGACTCAAGAGACAGATAATTTTTGTCAGGGCCCCAGGGACTTCACCAGAATGGAGTGGAGCCCCAAACTGACTCATACCCCCAGTTTTGTTGAGGAACAGTGAAGGCAATAGAGCTTTGCTGGAGCGCAGATATTTGTTTCAGGTAGCAAGGCAGGTAAGCAAGGTAGGGTGACAGTTTGGCTGATAGCTAACTTTCGTCTGACTGTCCCCTGGGAGCTTCCCTGTTTTCCCCATGAGATCCATTTCTGCATGAGTTGCAAAACATCTTGCCTTCAAGACTTTCTGGTTCCAGCTCCTTGGAATTAGCAGTTTTCCGCCTCCTGAGTTGGCTGGAGTAGACACTGACCCTCTGGGTGTCACAAGGGGCTCCACCCTAGTCAGGACCAACAATGAGTGAATTACACCCCATACTACCTGATGATTACACATAACAACAAAATGCAGTTGATTCATTTACCTTAGCACTGATGATCTCTCCTGACAAAATGATTTATATCAATAAAGTTCAGCATGTATGTGTACCTCGTCACAATCTATAGCAGATGCTGAAAAAACTACCTTGCTTATGCTTTCTCCACCCCAAAAGAATCTTCCTCCCTGCTCTGACAGACTGTGAGCAACCCCCGGCAGGGAAGACAGGTGCCCTGGGGCCCGGGCACTGGCCAGGCGAGCTGTGCTCCGCTGCAGGTCCAAGGACTCTGCCAGGTCTGTCCTAGCATCCACCAAGAGAAACCACCTGCTGGCCTCGTGCTCCTTCCAGCTCCTGCCACTCAGCTCCCCACACTGAACTCATTTTCTTTCTAAATTTACATCCACATTTTTTCCTTCTATTATCAAGACTCAGGGGAACAAAGGAAAACCAGAAGCGTGGAGAAAGATCACGACAGAAAGTGCCAGAAGGAAAAAGAGAAGTAGGAGGAACTTACAAAATGGCTGCCATTTTTGCTGATGAATAAAAAAGACACCATCTTTGTATAGACATTATAATTGCCTATCACAAATCCAGACCACAGAAATATAGCAAAATACAGCAAAACTGTCCCTACCTTTGTTTTAAAGAAAAAGACTGTTCAAAGGTAGTGTATGGTTTTTTCCATTTTCCTGGTCACTTCTTGATTTTCCCAGCCCAATTTAAAAAAAAAAAGCAACTAACTAATGTGACCTTGCTTTTGATTCTTGAAACTTAAAGGCTTATTTTTTCATGTTTTATTGACTTGTACCATACTGTATATCTTCCAAACTCAGAAAACAATTATACCTAGAGATAGCCTATTTGCTATTTTAATTGCTATCTCCAGCATTACAGATCTCTTGTATGTGTCTGTATGTTTTGAAACCACCTGGGTGTCCTAAAGTCATCCTCCCACTTCCATGAGTGGCAAACCAGATAAACTAATTTTTATCCAGATAAAATGATGCCCCTACTTCCTGAGGATATACTCCTCAGACTGGCTTATACTGATCAGTGGTGGCTCTGGTTAATATATTCCTGGACTGTCATTCTGATCCAAAGATTTTGAGGCAAAGTATGTTTTTAATAAATCACGGGTCTCTCTGTAAGTACAAAGCACACATGAGGGATATTTTTATGAAACAATGGTAATAATTACCACCTGTGCCTGGCTTCTTCAGATTGTACTCACAAACCAGTCAAGGGAATATATTGATTCAAGTACTGACCTGGGCACCTGCCATGTGCTAAGGAACTGTTCTAGGTGCTGGAAGCATGGCAAGGAACAAAACAAACAAAACTTCATTTTTTGCATGGGGCTAGTGTGAGGGATAGACACACAGACAGATGAATAAAATGTGTATATGACATAAGATGGTAGGAGACATGGAAAAGGAATGCAGGGAAGAAGAATGTGAGAGGAGGAGGGGTTGCTAGCCAAGGCTGTTGAAAAGGTGTTGCAATTTTTAATAGATTAGTAAGAAAAAGACTCAATAATGAGAAAGCATTTGAGCAAGGATTTGACAGAGGTAAAAGAAAGGCAAAATGCTGAAGGCAAAAGGCAGGGAATTCCAGGCTGAGAGAAGGAAAAAAGCAAATGCGGAGATCCTGAGGAGTGTGCATTCGTAACATAGTCCACGAAGACAAAGATGCTGCTCTGACCAAAGTGAAGCTGAGTTTCAAAAGGGCCAGAGGAAGTATTGAAGGCAGAAGGGCTGTGAGGTGGGGTGAGGAATGGTGAGGATATTGAGGAGTTGTGTAGGGACTTTAGTCTGGATGAGGTGGAAGTCATGGAGAACTCTATGCGGAGGAGCGACCTGGCTTCACATCCATTGAGTTTTTTTGGTTTTTATTTTTGTTTTGTTTTTTGCAGTACTTGGTATTGAACTCAAGCCCTTCAAACTGAGCTACATCCCAGCCCTTTTGAGACAGGGTCTCACTAAGGTGTTAATTTGCCCAGGCTGGGCTCAAACTTGCAATCTTCCTGCCTCACCCTTGTAGAGTGCTGGGATTCTAGGTCTGTGCCACTGTGCCCAACTTTGATTTACTTTTTTTAATGCTCACTCTATGTTGAGGGGAGACTGCAGGAGAGACAACTGTGGAAGCAGGAGAAATGCCTGGGAAGCCCCTGAAGTAAGCTGGGCAGGAGATGATGGTGACTTGGACTCGCAGCTGTAGAGGGCTAAGACGGGTCTGACTCTGGTGTACTATATTTCTTTTAATCTAAGCCATCACTGCTTGACAGATGCACCATTCTTTTATGCACCACATAGAGAAAAACAACTGCTATTGCAATTAAGAAATTATAACACAGTGCTTTCTGATCACGTAGGCCTCTCACTTCATGGCTTTTAAAAGACTTGTTTTAGATTTAGACATTTTAAATATATTATGGATATATCATATATTATGCATGGGATTGCAAACAATGA